AAGATTTTAGATTGTATCTACAGAAAATATTGAATACAAGTCTAAAGAGGTTATAGTTTTCTTGTATAGGTCACTGGTTAGGCCACATTTGGAATATTGTGTTCAGTCTTGGGCTCCTTACCTTAGGTAGGACATTGAATTGTTGGAAAGGGTTCAGAGAAGGGTTACTAGAATGGTACCTGGGATGAAGGGGTTGTCATACGAAGAAAGACTGAAATATTTCAAATTGTTTTCTCTTGAAAAAAAGAAGAGTTAGGGGGGATATGATTGAGGTGTTTAAGATTGTAAAGGGAATTGATAGTGTTGATGTATCATCTTTTTTTATATTTAACAATGAGAATAGTAGGACTAGGGGACACAAATACAAATTTTAGCAAGGTAAGAGTCATCTTCAGCTGAAACAGTTTTATTTTTCTAACAGCATGGTTGACCTTTGGAATGGGTTGTCTTCAGATGTGGTAGAGGCAGTAAATTTAAGTGAATTTAAGAAAAAGCTTGATAAGTATATAAATGAAAAGGGCAGGGTTTAAATTTTTTTTTTTTATTTAATCATTTTAATTTAATTCTGAGGATGGAACAGCTGAGATGGACCGATAGGTTCCATGTTGTCCCAAAATATTATGTTATATGTTATGTTGTGTTAAGCAGAGTGTTTTGGTAGTTAAGCTTAGTCATATTTCTGCCTAGAAAATAAGAGAAAAATATGCTTTTATAATGTTCAGGAAACTTTTTTGGCATTGACATCTTAAAATCAGAACAAATGATATAATTTCAGTGGTTGCTTAAAAACATACAACTTAGCTACATTATGAAGTGAAAAATATAGAACACTTGGTACAACAAAGCCATTATCCATATTTTTTGTTATTAATGTTGAAAAATTCACATCTTGCCTCATCTGATGAGCCATCACTGATTAAACTATTAACTCTTTAAAATGAGGATAGCATAGTTGTTTTTGTCATGTATAGAATGATGAAATAATAATTTATACTGTCAATTTTATTAAAGTATTTTAAGAACAAGAAATTTTTAGTTAATTTTATAAGTCCACATTAATAGTTGTATCTCTCAGTAACAAATGGTTGCACATATGACATATGAAACCATTGAAATTTATTAAAGAGAATTAATATATATATCATATACTTATGTCTTCACTGTTTAGAATCTCAAGCATTCTGATATTAATGATGATTTATCAGACATTGTCATCTGTTTTCAATATCTAGGAACTCAAGCATTCTATTATTGATGATGGTTTGTCAGTCATAGTCAATCATGTAATTATTCCACACTCTGGATGGAATTGCCACACAGACCCAAACGGGCAGCCAAGAGTCCAGGAAATCTGGTGGTCCACTGTGTTTCGGAATGCTAGTGGAATCCTGAGGTAATTTCAGATTATTTTCATACAAAATTAATATAAAATGTCATATATATCTGGCAGTTAACTAGCTTTAATGAACTGGTGTGTTTTGACAACAGAGAAACATTTAAAGTAACTTATACACTTGAATCATATAAACTCACTATTGACTAATATTACATGACATTTTTGGTACTAGATGAATCTTAGAGTAAATATAAATAACAATTAGCTTTTAATTTATTGATGTGTTTAACAATAAAGAAACTCCGAGGTAAGACTAGACTTTGATCATATAAACTGAACATTGGCTATTATTTAAATTACTTTTTTCCAATAGGTAGGGAGATATAATGTAAATGTAGACTAAATTCATATTACTACTGGCTATTATTATTAAATAAGAGTTGCTTTTGATAGTATAAAAATCATTAAGATGTTTATACTATGACCATCTAATCTGTCCTATAACTGTTGCAGAAGTGAAGTCTTAAATAGAAGAAAACTGTTTTTGGATAAATTAAACTTCTAAAAATCAACTGTTGTTACGAAAAGGGACAAGATTTTGGAAAATATTTATCAAAATGTGGTCTTCCTTATCAATGATAATAATAACCTGGATAATAGTTAGAAATGGTACAGATGATTTGTACAAATGTATTTTATTGGTCATTAGCTACTTACAGGATGAAGAGTTATATAAAGTTTGTCATAAGTCCAATTTGCATGTCTTTGAGTGGAAACCATCCCTAAACTATATTTTACAGTTTTACATCAGCTTTTATTTACAAATACTGTTTGAGTATCATTACAATAACTTGGAATGGTTTAAAAGAAATATTTGCTAAAGACCAATCTTAGTTTTAATGATGCAACTTTTATTTTTGATCAAATTTCAATGTATATAATGTATACAAATTTACAGATGCTAGTATGTTTCATATATACATGTATGTTTGTGTGTTTGTTTTATGTTTTTGTGTTTTGTGCTCATAGAAATGTCAGCTCTGCTGGTGAATACTCCAGGAGAAAGTTGAGAGAATGTGAAGGTCTTGTGGAAGCATTGCTCTTTCTTGTTAAAGCTGCCATTGGAAAGAATGACATGGACAATAAAAGTGTAGAAAACTGTGTCTGTGTGTTGAGAAACTTGTCATTTCGCTGCCAAGAGGTTGAAGATCCAGAATATGATAAACGAATTTTACAGCATTGTCATTCTCGTACTGGGCCCATGAAAGGTAGGAACCTTGTGGAAGAAATGTCAATGAACTTCAAATTTACTGAAATAGTTTTTCTACTTTTGTTGTAGATTAATAAAAGGTAAAACTTCAGTTTAGTAATGTTACTTAAATTTAGATTAGCTTGAATAATCTAATTCACAATATTAATAGACCAATAAAGAATAAAAAAAATAGGAAAATATATTGATAAACATTACAAACCTTTAAGTAGCTATGTAATTGAAATAGTGAACTTATGAAAGGGTTCAAGTCAAAATAAAATGTTGAGCAACTGTTAATTAGTTAGATGAAAATCCATGAGACAAACAGTGAATTTCTATATTAGAAAGGAATTATTTATTTTTCAATCTATTTGTTATAACTTAATCTATGTTAAGAAGAAGATATAATATAATTTTATTTTGTTTTCTATCATTTGTAGTTATCTAAAAGGATCCTAATATTGTTTAGAATTAAGAGAATTATACCTGCTGTCAGTAATTATTACTGATAGTAATATTATTAAGTATAAAATTAATTATTATTTGAAATTCATTGGATGAAAACTGAAAAACTACAAAGCTATGTAATAAGAAACAGATTAAACCAAAATTACATATACAGAATGTTCCTTTAGCAATTGTTTCACTGATTTGATAGTGGGGGACAGCTTAGGCTGCTTTGGCACAACAAAGAAGAAAAAAGACAATGAAAGTTCAGAAAAACAAAGGAAAGATGCTCCACTCTCCTCAACTCCAAGACAAAGGACTGGTCCAATCCAAGGAATGAAGTTGTTATGGCAGCCTGAAGTTGTGCAACCATATCTAGCTTTGCTCTCAGAGTGCTCAAACCCCGAAACACTGGAAGCAGCAGCAGGATCCATTCAAAATCTTGCTGCCTGTTACTGGCAGGTTAGTTTTTAATGTTCGCCTAACTTTTTGCTACCAATTGCATTTTTACAAAAATTATACAGGGTAGATGATAAGTTTATCCATTTAATGAACCAATGGTTTATTCAATCAGGTGTGTAAAACAGAATATGATGTGTTGTTATTACAGTTACACAAACGTGAATGAACAGGTTTTACACTATTTTATAGACACTGTCCTCTTTTAAGATAACCTTTCAAAGTGTTTGTCTTCTTGATTTACACATTGTAGCATCCTTTCCTGTTCTTTACCATGCCTTCAGGAAAAAAAAATCCTTTGCTCTAAATAAATCTATAATCCATTAAACAGTCTTGTAAATACAACCATCAAAGGTACTAAGAAATGAGCAAGAAGTAAGCAATTATAATATAAAAGTGTAATAAGAAACAGGTGAACTGATAAATCCTGCAGTAAACTTACTTATGGCTCAACCTATATTTTTATATGATACTTGGTAGCAAAAGTGAAGGTGTTGATTTTTTCTATTTTAAATGATAAGTTTAATTAATAAAGCTTTTGCTTACATTAAATACTTTTTTTATCTCTTGTTTGATCTTAATCCCAATTAGAATTGAGATCAGCTGCTTGGGTATTCTGTAAGCCAAGAATTTTTACACCCTGGTGGCTGGCCCTGTCAGAAAACAGTAAGTTCATTTGGTGATGGGGATTCAAACACACGATTCTCAGATTGTGAGTCGAGTTTCTTAACAACCAGGCATGCTTACATTAGATACTATATTTGTAATACTTTAAAAAACATGAGATGAAGCTTATTTCAAAATTGTGTTTTAAAAGTATATTTTATGATAATTTCTAGATATGCTTGGAGATGGAAGCAATATTTCTACCATTCAGGCTGAACTTTATAAGTGATCAGAATGAATAACTTGAATTTCATTATTTCTAAAGCCTAGTTTAGATATCCGAGCTGCGGTGAGAAAAGAAAAGGGTCTCCCAGTGCTGGTAGAACTGCTCAGAATGGATGTTGACAGAGTTGTATGTGCAGTGGCTACTGCTTTAAGGAATCTTTCAATGGACCAGAGAAACAAAGAACTCATTGGTAGGACTTGTGAATATGTTTAAATAAGATTTAAATGAAGTACTTTATTTTTTATTGTAAAAATTAGTTGAACATTACCATTGTTCGTTCCTTCATCAAAAAAATCTAATATTTTATGAAGAGATATGCATTCTCTAATATTTGGGTGTTTTAATATATTTTCCATGTGATAAATTTTAATCTCGTAATCAAATATGAAATCTTACTATAAATCCATTTCGCTATAAAAGGCATACTTTCTTGATACTATTAATTTCCATTTAGTAAGAATTAAGAATTGTGAAAAATGTGTTTAGGTCCTCTGAACTCATATACATGTTTTATAACTTTACCTTTGTTTATGAGATTGCATGAAAGCTATCTGTTTATATATATGGGTATGTATGTATGTGTCAGTTAACGATAAAATTGTCATTTTATATTTTTTTTTCTTTGCTTGTTTACTTTTGCAAAAATTGAATCTGACTACTGCTGATTTTTTCCTTTGATTTTTTTTTTCATTGTCCCTGAGAGCTGTGTAGAAGTTTCATAAAACTTTAAAAGTTGAATATGATTAACAAACTTGGTGTCTTATGTTACTGAAGATTGATTAGAAAACCGGATCGATTACAAATGTCTTATAACCACAGCTATAAAATAATAATAAAAGCATTCTGATTGTTTCTCTGTATAGGGAAGTATGCTATGCGGGACTTGGTACAGAAGCTTCCTAGTAGTGATCCTCTGCAGGAGAGAGGGGGCTCCTCAGATGAGACTATAGCAGCTGTTCTGGCTACCTTAAATGAAGTCATTATTAAGAACAGTGATTTTGCTAGATCTTTGCTTGAAGCTGGTGGGGTGGATAGGTTAACATATATAGCCAAACAGAAAGGCAGATTTTCAACACGAGTGGTGAAGTTTACAGCACAGGTTGGTTAGTAATGTAATATATGTATACAGGTGCTTACACACATACACAGACATGTATTAAAAATATAGAAGTTTGTGACAGTACACAAGGTCCATACTCATATGTTCATTATAACTAGTAGTTTAATTTATAGCTTCACATTAACACTTTCTTGATAGCAGTAAGAAATACATTTTGAATAGTTGTTGACAAAACACTAATCTGATGGGAATAATGGATTAATATTGAGAATATTTTTGACTTTTTGACATGCTCTCACTTTTGATTTGTTGCTTTCAAGGTGAAATGGTGTTACATATGCTTAAATTGTTTATTTTCAAATGCAGAAAAGTAAGTAATTTAACAGTCAATCAGAAAATTACTTTCTTTCTCTGTGGACCAACATTGGTACACTTCTCAGTTTGTTGTTTTGAAGGCTATAATCACAGTACTGTACCAATCCACAGAGTCTCTGAATATATACATATGTTATTCTTACAATATTTCACTTTATTAGTTTTGTAGGTATATTTGTAGCTGATAAGTTCAATCTTGAAAAAATATGCACTGTGTGAATCAAATATTATAACTTGTATTTAAAAATAGCTCAATTAGAATTTCAATCTAATTTTACACTCTAAATGCCAATAATAGAGTTTTAATTTTCCATTGTGATCATTGTACATTCCATGTTTTTAAAAAGAATTTTCAGCTTTAATTACCCCTTTAACATTTAGAGCTGTTGCATTGTAAAGTGGTCTACAATTATAACACCTACTAACTTGTATCAAAGAGCTGAAAATCATAATAAAAACTGACTATTTAGCAATTGGAAATTTGTTTTAACTACTTTTTTAATGACTTTCATGAAAACAACAACAGTCTTGGATTTCATAAATTTACAAATTAATATAATGAGAAGAAAAAATCTATATGTTTTACTTACGTGCTGTTTTATGAACAAAACATTTTTGTGTGACTAGCCTTGTACTAGTGACTTATTATAGTCACTATCCTGAACAGACTAGTTGCTTAAAAAGTTAGCCTTCTAGTTTCAAGTTGATTTATCCAATTTCATAGCACAACATTCTTTTCATCATTAGCAAAACCTGAACAAGTTAATTACTCAATTACTTTTAAATTTGATTACTAATGAACAAAGATTAATGTTATTAAAAAAATGCATTAATACAGATACAAAAATATTGGTATTAGTGGGTGCATGTTTGTTATGTTTCAGTTTATATAGTAGTTTTCAATACACTTCACTAATATTGATCTTCATTTGTTGTTATACTGATATTATGTGTTGCTTTTATTAAATAATTTTTTCAAATATTTTATAGACAATGTATTGGGTAGTTAGAGTCTCCATAAAACTGGGACAAGTATAAAAGTTGTAAATTAATAGTATTATACTAATTATCTAGATTTAAAAATAATCAAACATTAACAGTAACTATAGCTATCAAGTAAATACATGCTTTTTGCAGTTATTACACAACATGTGGCAGCATCAAGACCTTCGAGAACTTTGTAAGAAAGCTGGTTGGAAAGAATCTCATTTTATCACACGCACAATGGTGGCTCGAAGTACTGCTTCTACTCCCACTAGTGCCAACAGTACACTCCATCGACCAATCAGCACACAGGGTGCAACAAAGTATGAAGACAGAACACTACCTCATAGAGGCCCTGATCCAAACTCTTCCATTGGAGGTAACTCTGACAAAAAATTAATTCCATCACTATTGTTTGTCAAACATTGAACATGTTTTTTAACTCCCAAATTTAAGCATGGTGACCATCACCATTGTAGTGTTAGCTTCTCTTGTCTTTGTTAAACTGTCATCTAGATATGTTGACACCTTTATCTTTAGGTCAGAAAACTGAAATTAAGGTAAATAGCATTTTATTAAGTGAGAGCTTAGATTCTGATGTTTTATTTTGAGTATACTCTTTCTTTTTTTTAACTTTTGTTTTGCTAGAATTCTGTTTTATCTCACATGATTTAATATTTTTCAGATGGTGTGCCACGTAGTCGGGTAAGTGATGTCAGTTTATTTTTGCCATCTAATAAGAACCCAACTAAATTTCACATTGTGACAGTATTGCTGCAACGTTGGGTTTTTTTTTTGTATTTATATATTGCTACAACCATTATGCCACCATTTTACAGCACAATATCAGTGTTTTATTAAACAGTCTTTAAGGTTATATTTTAAAATATCACAGATTCATCTTCTTTCATTCTCATAAATTTATTGGACAAAAAAATTTATCTGACGAAAAAAAATAGGAAAAAGTTTACAAAATGTCAGTATAAAATGTCATTGAAGTTATTATTCATGACAATAATAATCTCTATATATCTTCCTTCCAACTTATATAGTTCCTAGTCATCACTCTTCCTTTTCTACCTAATCATCCTTCTATCTTGGGCACCATTTGCTGATGCTTGCAAGCATGAAGCTGATTTCTGCAAAATATCCAGTTTCATATATAGTATTTTTATGAACAAAGTTTTTGATTAAACAGTGTCAGAGTTTAAGGGAAAACTTCATTATAAATTTAAAGATTAGAATTATCATCTTTTAATATACCATGTGACTTATTCCTCCTGGCTTGTCAAGAGCATATTTTAGAAATACTGCCATCTGATCCTCTATAGTGAAACTGAAGGCAGGCTTCTGCAACAAAAAGGAAACATAGACACCTTGAGAACAGTTAACGAGAAGACAATTGCCCTGTCATTCTCTTGAAAACTTAATAATTTTATAGTTGATACCTTAAGAAATCTCAACTGGTATTGGTACTTGAAGTTTACTTGGTTAAAACTAACTTTAGAATCTGTTTCTCATGCATCTGCCCTTTTAAGCCACATGCATCAACATTATGTGTGTTATCAGGTCTACCATGTTAAAACAAAAATTAACACGTCATGCATTAACAAGGATTAAATTTCAATACATACTCATTATGTATTTGAACAATAGAAGATTTTTGAAGGCTTATTTTTGTTTTCCCTGCATCTTTTGTTTTTACCATTCAGGCTGTAAGCAGATCACAGCTTGTTTCTGCCTATCTTTGGCATGATTTGTGAGATTGATAGGTGTGGCTGCCCTGGGAACCCATGAAGCTAACCTGTAAAACCGAACAAGTAAAATTAATATATAAAATATTTGCTTTATTGTACTATGATGCAACTATATCCTTTATAGTGTATATAAACCTTTAACTAGGTGATTTACCATTTTCTTTTGGAAGGAATCATCCTCCAACTTCTTGTCAAACTCTTCCAGCTGGTCAAGAATGTCAACTGACCATGAAGCACATATTCTAGCATACAGTCACCATTCCCTCCACTTGCCATCTGGCACAGCAAAGCTATTTGTTGTTGATTGGCCTGGGTCTAGTCCAACTTCACTAGCACACTTATCTTAAAATCTGTTCATGAAAACGTCTATTTGATGCCCCCCAGTGGCACAGCGGTATGTCTGTGGACTTACAATACTAGAAACCAGGTTTTGATACCCGTGATGGGCAGAGCACAGATAGCCCATTTTGCAGCTTTGTGCTTAACTTCAAACAAACAAAGTCTATTTGATGATTTATCAAATAATCTTTGAATAAGACATACTTCGAGAAAGTGTTAAAACTACATGCTATTGACAGAAATACAAAATTTTAATTTAAATAACTGCCTATAAAATAAATGCAAAATGTATTAAGTGCTTATTCTCTAGCATTTGTATTTGGTGAAGTGTAGACTGTAACTGCTAGTGCATTGTGAACAAAGCCTGCTGGTGGGGGCAGGATCACTGGTTAGCTTAGAACAAGACCAGCTGTTGGGGTATCATGCTAGCAGATGGGGTAACAAAGAATGGGAGCAGGGGCAGTTATGCTTTATTTATAGGCAATACACCATCTTCAGTTACACTTTTAATCCCATGTGGTGCATTTTTAATCACAATATATAAATCATCATGATTTATATCAAACTATGTAACATCACCAACCTTCTCTGTTTTCACAAATTTGATTCCTTCCATTTTGTAAAATTTTCTTTTTCTTGGGTCTTTGTAGGAGTTTCAGGTCATTCATTATCTGTAGGAGCTTCAGGTCATTATCTAAATAAAAATTAAAAGAAGTTTGAGAAAAAAGAGCAACTTTACAAACAGTGACAGTCTGGGTAAAATCACTCCTCTTACAAAATAGAAAACAATAAGTTTTAAAGAAGTGATATTGTAGATTTTGTAAACTCATAAAAGTCATGCTAGACTGATGTCAAATGAAATTTTCATGTAAATTTATAATGAATGATCTGAAATTAAGTAGCCATGAGGCCATAACACCTCTAATTATATTTTACCAACCTTCACTATACTGAAGCTTAATGCTGCATATTCCTTGTAATAACAATCTGTTATTAAGAGAAGTTTTCCTGTTACCTTGCTTTCTGATATTTAATATATGTATATCTAAAACTCACTAATATTATCAGCTGTATATGCCTTGTGTTATGATTGGTTTTATATTTATAGTCAGAAGAACTGCCCTTAAATGATGTCCGGGAAGACATTGAGCCACCACCTCACCGACCACCAGTAGGGGGAGTGTTAATTTTTCCACCTGTACCAGTAAGTTCTAATTCTATGTGTTTTTATGATTTATTACTGCTACATACTTTTTCTAGTAACAGTTTGTTGAAGGAGGGAATTGCATTACCAAATTTTGCATACAATACACAACAGGAATTAGTTTATAGGACTTCAGGTATTAATATAAGCTAATAGTTAATTTACTCATATAATTTAACTTAAGCCACTTGAGAAACTAATGGATGTAAGAGGCAGAAAATATTCTACTGCAATTTTTTCATTATCTTATTTAAAGAGCTATGTTTATATTGTGTTTATTATACAAGATCATGCACAGGATTTTTCCATGGTGAGCAATACTATTATTATAGTACTTTTAATAGTAAATTTTATGTCATATTTGTCATATATTTTATTGGATGTAATTTTATCCTCTTGTAGTGTTAGATGTTTCACACTTTATACAGAAACTTCATTAACCTCTTGGACTATTAATGGGAACCCTTTTAACTTTCTTCTTTTAGAATAAAACCATTTATCTTAAAATTAAAGTGCTATAGAGGCAAGCTAAGTGACTCCCTCTGTATGTGTCTATTTTGTTTGATTCTGTATGTCTTGATTTTTCCCAAAATAAACTTTTCTTTTATAATTAAAACTATGACAGACATTAAATTTATCTGTATTTCTGTATTAATTAACCATGATTAGCCATCAAGTACTACAATCTGAATGTTAAGGTTTTATGGAATGAGATACCTTTATGTAATGTCACTATATCCTCTTTTAGTGTAAATAATTAAAAAAGCTTTAATTTTTATAAATTTAGTTTGACATCTCAAATATTTGGACAGATTGAAAAACAATGAGTGGATCATTTTTGTAATTTTTCATTTTCTATGCTGTAACTATAATGCACTAACCATATACAAAAACCATTTACTGCATTCTGCTTGTTTTTATTATAAACACAACATTGTTTTTAAAAAATGTCACTGTTACTTAGATCAACATCACATTTATTAAATTTAATTTTAAAAAACAAAACAAAAAAAGAACAGAAAAATATATTCAGTTACACATTTTATGTGCATTACAGTAAATGGCTTCTCAGTCAAAATAACTAGATACTGATGGTGTAGTTTACTTAAAAAGAAAGAATAGTCTATAGGTATATGTATAAAACAAATTATGTTAAATAAACACACTATTATCTGTTTCTCTGTAGCCTCCACCCCAGGGTTTCTGAACTAGTTAGGTTTCTGATACTGTCTTGGTGGGTGCCTTTTTCAACTTCATATTTCTCTATGAATCTCTTTACCTCACTCATATATGTAACATTATAGATATTAAATAAGAGTCATAATAAATAAATTAGTGTAGATGATTGATTGCAACTGATTTTATTATTCTGTTTGTCATAATTGCATGACATTTGAAACCACACAGTTATGTGTAATGTAAAAATTGCTTGCAAGTATTTTTTTACAATAAGTATATGAATAAATAATTTACATTTTAATATTAATATCATATATATTATTGCTGATAATCTAGAAGAGAAATGTACATTTAGAAATAGCTATAACACCATACACTGAGTTTGGGAATGAATGAATTAAGACATTGACAGGTCTCACAACCCTTGGAAAAACAATCTTACGATCTACATTCAAGGGACAGCCACCAACAGGTTAACCCACCAGTCCACAGGATTCAACAAGAAGACTCGTGGGTGTGAAGTTTCATCCATACTGGTGATGTACATTACAGACTTCACAGATGTGTACTCGCTGAAGATCTGGTATCCTGGTGTATGTAAGTTTCTCTAACCCCGAAGAGTGGTTAGAAGATATTGCTATCTCAGAGAAACAAATGTTTGTGAGACCTTTGTGCCAATAAAGTTTTTACCTTTTGTTTTAGCTGTTCTTTTAAACTCTAACACATTTTTATTTGAAAGAAGATCAGTTTTTGGATGACTCAGTTGAGCTCTAAAGGCTTTCATTTACATGACAGGACTATGACTCTACTAGGAAACTTTGTTATCTAAGTTGAACCTGTGTTAACCCTATTTTTGCATATACAGCACTTCAATTAAAATTGGAACTTTATGTGTACTGAGCTAAAGGGTTAACATAGCAGTCATTAATTAAGGCACTTTTTAACAAAGACATAACGAAAACATGTTTTTTATTAAACTGTTTTGGTTAGCTGAGTTAAGCACTACATACTTTAAACTGTAAGATGAAATATGATTTTACTAAAAAACATTTTTTGGTTAGGGAAAAACGAGTTCTAAAGGCTTTATATTGCATGGAAAAACCATAATTTTCTAGGAAATGCTGCAGTGTGTAAAAGAAACTGAAGATAAACTATGATAGTATTTAATTTTGTCTTCAGTAATAAGAGTTTCTTTACTTAAGTTATTTTGTCCGTGCTATAAACTTATCATTTTATGAAAAAAAAAGAAAAAGCAAGCTTATAAATGTTAAATGTAATGACAGGCTAGTCAATGATTATTGTCAAGCATGATTTTGTATTTTTTGTTTTTATGCTTTTAGCATTTAAAATTACATTCTTATTAAAATGTTGCTTAATTAGTATTTTTTTTTTACATTCCATAATTTAAATTGACTGTTATACATTTGTCAGCTGTTAGGCTTGTTGTGTGAATATTTTCCATGTAATTGCTGTTAACATAGCATAAGATGTGCACCTTTTCACATTTTATTATATTAAAGCTGCTTTCTGTTTTTGTTATAACTTGTATTTGTACAAAGCTAAAGTTAATTAAATGTAAACATGTAAGTAGTGACTATCAATAAAATACCTAAAGATCTCAGGTCCTCAGTCAATAGTACACTGTGTGAATTTTTCATGTGGTATAACTTTAGTTTCAAATACATTTTATCTTAATACAGAGGGTTGAGTATGTTTGTTACATTAAAACAAATTTGAATGTACAAGTCAGCAAATCACTTGATAACCACAGCCAATATAAAATTAAAGTGGAATAAAATGTATCAGAAGAGCATTTTGACATTGTTTGGAATTTTGTAATTAGTGTGATGCCACCAAAAATCAATCACATTTGTGAAAGGTGTATAACAGTTCTTTCCAATGCAAAATTTTACTCAGATCATACAAATGTGCTAATATCAGGGATTTAGAATTTTCAAGGCAGGGGTATCCCTTGTGTATAATGCGACTAGAAAACAAAGGAATATGGATTAACTTAGTGCACCTGGACTGTCCTAAAAGACACCTGCAACAAGTCAAACCCCAGCTGTAGTAAGTAAAATATTCCAACTTATAACATACGGGAACATGAAGATCAGTGGCAAAAAACATCCACGTGCCCCAGGCAACAGTACACAACATAATTAAAAAGGATATTTATCTGGAAAAGTGACACAAGTCAAATGTACACATACTGCTTTAATGACATATCTATTCAACTGTTGCAAATCTTAAGCAGCTGTAGAATGAAATGGGTACGGTATTCATGCTATACCACACAGAGACATATTGATCAAGTTGCCAGATGTAGTGCCATGGATTTCTGTGTGATCAGACTGTTGAAATGGCTGCTGGGAAATCATTGTCCTTATACACTAGATGCATGGCTTAAGGCCTGTAGAGAGGAGTGATATGCTTTGGATATTACAGATTTACAACTAAGCCTTTTGCAATGGAAATTACACTGATGAGCTATTGTCAAGATGCAAGTGGCAACATGGACTGTGATGATGTGATGAAACTTCAAAATTGTTTAAACACAACCTATATATATATATGTAACAGCTGTATAATAACCAGACATGGTAGATAGCTTTTGATTTTTGGTCTCTTGTATAGTATTGAGGAAACCACTAGAATTATCGGTCCCAATAAAAATTTTCAGTGTCGCATACTTTTCCTTTTTCCAAAATCAACATTTTGTACAGGATAATTTAATGTCTAATCATTATATATGTTTTACTTAGTATTCTACAATTTGAAGCATCAATTTAAGCAAAAACAATTAGTTTAATCATGAACACATTATTATTGATCAATGAAACATAAGTTGCAAAATATTACAGGAATAAGTATTGATCAAACTAGTATTTTTCATATAAATATAGGTTAACAAACTACTAGGACCAGAAGGTTAAGAAACCATATTTATAACGGGGGGGGGGGGTATAGTAAAGTCACTTCGGGGCTATCTGCTGTGCCCACCAAAAGATTTCGAACGCCTGATTGTAGCGTTGTAAATCCGTAGACTTACCGCTGTCCCACCGGGGGACTTATTAAGGGGGCGTGGGTGACAAAAGTTTGGGAAACGCTGCCATATGAAACACGTATATTGAGGATTGAGACTTCAGAACAAATATTTCATCATGTGGCCTGTACCTGTATAATAGGATTAACATTTTTACGACCTTGAGATATTAGGCCAACGAAATGTAGAAACTGCGTGGAAAATTAGAAATATATTACGTGAATATACCTGAATGAAGATATTTTCAGTTATGGAAGAGTGAAATTTATAACTACTTCAGTCATCTCACATACAAGGTTATATACAAACGTTAATGGGTTTACTGATGCCATAAAGGCCTTAATTTAATATATCAAAATTAACAGATTTATTCGACGGAAATCGAGGTATAAATAAGAACAGTAAAACGACGGCAGCAACAACAAACATTTGACACGTGTATGTGTACAGTAACAAACATTTAATTCTTGAACGTTTCGGAATGTACATATTCCATCTTCAGCAAGCTATAATGAACAGGATAAATTATTAGATACAAAACATTTATGTATTTAAACATTTTATAAAAAGTAATTAAAATACAGAATATAAGGATGAACTACATTAAAAGACAAACAAAGAATAGGATAATGAAACAATATTATACAAATTATTTAGAACAGACTTAATTATACTGAAGTTGTATTATTATTTAAAGTTGGGAGTTCGTTTATGATAGATAAACTTTATTTTATCAAAGTTCAATATTGGATGATCCAGATGAAATGACTTTGAAATTCGTTATCAAGACGGGGTGGTTAGTGTTTTTTACAATGTGCGCGGGTTCGTGGAGTGTGGTGAATTTGATAGTTATTTACCAGTTCTGTTTGATATTCCCATATGTTCGCAGGCTCGCGGGTGTAATTGGCGTATAGTTTTGCCAATATAAGTGGCATTACAGCCACCACACGTGTATTTATGTACGCTCTTGGCACGCATAGAGGGTAGGTAATAGGTCTTTTGATCTGAAGATATTTTGTATTTTGAAAGGTGATTTAAATATAATTTCTAATTGCACTTGCGGATAAATGTTTTAATTATTCTTAACATTTTTTGACTTCACTATGAAACTTTGCTTATCTAACAAAATAAACGATCAATCTTTTTAATGGGTATTTATCAACAGTGTATGACTTCTTTGGGGGTTCAAGTTTTTGAGAAAGGAACTTGGGTGTTAGGGCTTGAATAAAATGCAAGGGATAACCGTCGTCTATTAAAATGTTCTATAAAGGCGGTAACTTCGGTATTAAGAGAGAGGCAGTTAGAACAAATGTTATATGCTCTACTGAGAAGACTGAGTATAAGGTTACGTTTAAAGGAATTCAGAATAAAATTGTCGAATGGAGTATGTAAGCCTGTATATGTTTTTTTACGATAAACAGATGTTGTGAAATGATTATCTAATCCGCTGATTTGGATATCAAGGGAAGGCAATTTACCGTTTTTTTTTCTTTAATTTTCACAAAGAAAATTAATCTTAGGGTGTTTCGAAGTCCCACAGTGGCACAGCGGTATGTCTGCGGACTTACAACGCTAGAAACCGGGTTTCGATGCCCATAGTGGGCAGAGTACAGATAGCCCATTGTGTAGCTTTGTGCTTAGTTACAAATAAACAAACAATGTTTCGAATTTTTGTACCTAATAATTCCGGAACGTTCAAGAATTAACCAATTGTTTTGGGAATAGAAAGTCGAAGGTATACAACTGCTTAATAATTGTGCAGCTGATATAAGGGTAATGCCACTGAAGGTTAAAGGTAAACAGATGTGAAACATTCTAAAAATGTAATCCTCCAAAGCTACCAAGAAAAATTAAATCAATCCATTATTTTTCAGGAAATAATTATGACTATTGATGCACTTCATTAAAAAAAAAGCCTGAACACTGACGGACTGACCCTTGAGGTATACAAGTAGTAACATAGGTTCAATCTGAATGGATTCCAGTAATAACATCTTTGTTATCCAAGCACCAATCAGTTAATCATCTAAAAAATATATAACACTTTAACAAGTGTTAACAGATTAGTATGAGAGGTTTTCCCTTTAGTGAAAGAATGTTGGCTGTTTTTCGAAATCATATTTCACTAAATTGTCTTGCAAAGCTTCTTATATCTGTCATCAAGGTAAAAGGTATACAGTTGCTCGATATACAGTTGATATATGGGAAATATCGCCGTTTCGAATTAAATTAAAAGACGCCACAGCTTCAATAACTACTACTAGTTTAAGAACGTTAGGTCAACCAAGTGACCAGAAATATCCTTTCATTTAAATAAATGTAAATTCACATATCTTTATTTACTAGTTGGAAAATATCACGTCTAAAGTTATTTAATGTGATACGGATTAAGTGCCCTTGGAAATAAGAAACTTTTCTAAAGAGAAAATATTTATTTCGATATATTTTTGTTCTCGGGAAACTGCAACTAATCTAGAAATAAACTAATGTTGATAAATATGGTAAAAAGAAGCATCTGAAATACAGTAGTCACTGATCTTTCTGTTCAGTTTTATTATAAACATTATCACAAATAGCTATCTACATACTCTGATAAAATATAACAGAAAAAACAACAACAACAACGTAAATCCATACTAATTAAGAACTGTGTAAACGCTTTGTAAATTTCACAGTAAAGGAAACCAAAAGCCTGTTCCCGTTTACTTTTAAATATAGTATTTGCTATATAAAGAAATAACTTTTTTTTTTAAGTTTCGTTGAATGACTTTCTAAGTATGGTTATCTCATGATCACGATTTGGCAGTAAGAAATGTATACACACAATGTAATAGCATTCAGTACTTTAGGATTATTTAAAGTAAAATATCTCACAAATAGAAAAAATAAGGAAACAATATCACCTGTTTCTATTTATAATTCTTAACATATCCTCTAACTTTCCCAACGGTGACAAGATAATGAAGATTAAGTAATCGCATAACGATAGCGAGTTACAGTCACTAATAATAGTATGTGAATAAAAAATTTAGATCATAAAAAATAAAAATTATAGATCTTTAACCGCCATATGGCGTTAAAAAAACATCTGAAAACGTAATGCTTCAGGCAGGTCACACGAAAGTACGCTTGACAAATGGATCAATTCAATCTATATATTAATGCTTGGTTGCTAAATTAAACCAGCTCTTCGTTAGCACCTCAAATGTTCTACTTTCTAAAATTACTATTTTTTTTTCTCTCTTTTTTTTAAATATTAATTTCAGCCAGCGTGTTCTAACTTTTTCTTTTCATACAAGTTTATTTAACTTGGAGCTACATACAAATATCAGATGGAAAAAAGAATGAGATATATTTATAATTTTTTTCTCTGTACGTATAATTTGGAGACAATAAAATTATTTACATAATTATATTAACTTGCACGATACTGTTTTAATTTTTGTGTCGTTTTCACTACTTCGTTAAGCCTTGATTTTTTTATTATTTTATTAACTGCCATTCAATATTAACTTTGAAAACATCAATCTCTTTTGAAAATAATGTTATGAAGCTACAACTGAACAATGCTTTTGTTCTGGCCAAATC